ATTGCGAGTCGAGGTCCCTAACCACCTGGCCATGCCGGGCCTTCCATGAAATGTAATTCAGTCTTAGGTTCAGAATCTCGCTTCATGAAACTATTTATAATTAAATAATAAGGTAAACTATTTTGTAGGCAAAACACGTATTATAATTAAATTACGCAGGTTTTGCTTTAATTTTTGCTTTTAAATTATACTTTAATGAAGGTCGAGTAATATGTAAATTTGTGTACTATATTTGTATGTACGAATATAGTACGCAATTACTAATTTTAATGATGAAATTATGTATGTTATGTTTGTTTGTAGTTAAGTACAAATTGACACAAGGAGCTGTCTTTGATATCTGTATCGAAATCCGGTTGCTAGCGTTATACAGTTGTGCCACTGGGGGGGGGGGGGGGGAGGAAGACTATACGTTGTGCATTCATAGCTGGTACTGTTAATAAACCAGTGTCAAAAACATGCGTATTTACAATTATAAAAGCGTCGAGATCATGTTCTACTATAGGTACGTTCAGCAACCTTAACACACGAACATCCGAAGTTGATTAGATGACAGACATGTATATCTAATTATATATAGATATCTATATCACAAGCATTATTACATAAAAGTATAAATAATGACACTAATTATGACAATGTATATGCAAAATTACATCTAAATACAGTAAAACGTTTTCAGTACGCTTAAAAAGTACGTCTAGCAGAGAATATGAAAATATAAAAATTGGTACAGAAGAAGGTTTGATAAATATATATTAATGCACTAATGCAGGGAAAATGTTTAGCGGGAAATGTAATGAAATAAATATTACTAAACACGTTTCACAGGGAAGTATGATACGTATTCATGTAAACATAAATCAATAGGGTTAGTTTGTTTCTTATTGCTTCTGAGCCGGAGATAGTTACTAATGTAGGAAAACTGTTAGATAAAGAGACAAGATATAAATATATAATTACCACAGAAACATGTATTGTGTTTAACCGGAGTATATAGGACATAAATTCAACAAAACATCTTCATTAATATAGAGACAGGATATAAGTATACAATTACTACAGAAACAGATATTGTGTTTAACCTGGGTATATGTGACATAAATTCAACAAAACGTAGTAATCTGATATAATGAAGAAACAAGTGTTTAGTAGGGATATGTGTCATAGATATAAGAATAAACGTTTAAACTAAAATTATGGTATCCAGTTTAGTAAGAAAACATGATATAGATAAATTACGTGTATTTATGATATATAAGTATTATAATTGTCTACCTTGAGTAAATGATATACATATATAAATTGTATGGACGTTTATATATATAACTTAAAAAATATAAAATATTTTCAAAATCACTTAATTTGTCATACAACTACTACTAATTGGTTCACATAAGGTTTTCATTGTTTTAAATTTTTACTTCTTTGGAATGAGAGCCCAGGTCAAAAACAAGCCTTTTTTTCCTCAGTAGCGAGAGGTAAAAAAAGCATTCTATATTCTCACTTTTTATGTTAAGGAATTTCGATTATTTGAAATATTCAAAAGACATTGTTTCCTGTAGTATTTTATGACTAAAATATTCATCCTTTTTGTGGCTTTCGTTAGTTATGGGTCAACATCAACAGTACTTTCGGGTTCAACCTAAAGACAAGGAAGTGATACAAGGAGAGACTGCGGAGATGCAGTGTCACATTGCTTATGCTGCAGGAGCTGTTCAATGGAGTAAAGATGGATTTGTGTTGGGTAAGTTTATTTTGTCTTTACTGAACTACCAAAGCAACTGACTGTGCATACCGTTCTTTGTAAAATGCAACCATATTAAAATACTGGTGCTTCATAAAAAAACGTATTTAAAATACCTATATCTGCCCATTTCATAACACGTTCTCTCATTTCCGGTACTTATTTAAGAATATTGGTTTAAACACGAGGTTACACCCAAACTGTTCAGTACCGTATGACCATTAATATTAAGTTTGCGTATATAAATCAACGCAAACTCATTACATTATTTGGTCAGAATTATATATTTTTGTTTTGAGTTTTATACGTTACAGCTTTTACAGTAAGTAAGATTTATTTTAGAACAGGTACGACGTTTCGATCACTGTTGTGATCATTCTCAAATGTACTAAAACACATATTACTTACTGTAAGAGCTGTAACTTATAATATAATAAAATTATATTATATATTGTTTAAGTCGGCTTTGTTTAGTCAATATTCAGATGATAAAACATTCAGTTTTAGAGTAACATACTTCATACGTGTTCAGTGTCTTTGTCATTAGCATTGGGTAAAACGTTATATAATTGCACTATTACCAAATTTTAAGCAGTAGCGATTCCTTTTAATGCTGGTAGTTTTCATTTAAAAACGTGTTATAACTTCGATGTTTGTTGAATGATTTCAGTAATTGATCTTTAATGCACATATTTGGCTATAACATTGAAATATAACACACATATCAGGTAATAAAGTAAACACACCCCCTTGCAGTTACTACATCATGTCCGTTCTGCTATCTCATAATACATGTTATTACAAACCACAACAACTTCTATAAAAATTAAACCTAAATGAAAGAAACACAACTGGAAAATAAACGTAAAAAATTTACATTTTATAATGAAAACATTTTACAGATACATTATAAAATGGAATTAATATAAGCTGAACAAAATCGAAAAGCTAAAAATAATATTTTAATACCGTTTTAGATTTAGAAAGAGGGTTTTTTTTAACGTTCAAGAAAATTAGAAGAGTGTTTTATTTACACAGTCTAAAAAAATCGTTCTGTGTCCTACAGTTGCAGTTCAATGGTAAGATAACTAATCGATAAACATATTTCGTACTTAAATAAGTAGAACCTGTTTGCATTTTAACATTTTAAACGATCACAAACATCCTGTGATTACTGTGTATAATAACACGTGGTGGCAGTATAAAAAATTACATTTGATATATAAACGTATTATATTTATCTTTGATTGCAATATTAGAATCTCTATAGTTCCGTTACGTTTCTCGACATTCAAATTGTATAATCAATATGTAAGAGTTATAATCACAGCGTTGAAAAATTATTGAAAACAGATTTATTCTCATATTGGTACCACTGCTTCTAGTATTAACATTGTACATTGCAAGAAAAAAGTGTTAGTTTTATTCGGTGTTTCATGTAATTTAGCTTCAAATCACACATTTTTGATTGCACACTAATTACAATTCAATCTTTGCAGAAATAGAATTAATAGCATGTAATATTTAAACACGTGTGTTACTGATCATCCTCTACATGGCATTTTTATTGAATATTTCTTATAACTATATATTATTTGTATTTATTGTTACACATTGTTCTTTCTGCAACTTTAAAATTGAGTGTATAATTTTATCTGTTATCAATAATGATATTAAATCTATATAAACATAATATTACTGTATGTTGTTTGTTGTATGTCCATATAACTACTTCGCATAGTGTGGATGGATCTTCACCAAAACTGGTATGGAAGTTCATTAGGTCTATGCGGGGGTACTTTCAGTTTTGCGGTTTTCACGGGCGTTTATATGCTTTTTTACCACTACTTCGCATATCTACTTTTATTTGTAAATTAACTCTCGAAACATCTTTATAAATTCCGAATTTCACTTCTTAATTGGTTGTTTGAAGTTAAGTACAAAGCTACACAATGGACTATCTGAGAATTCAACTTTCAATCATAAATCATGATGGTTGATGAAACAAGAGCTACTTTAGCTTCATTTGTAGAAAAATTTAAGTAGTTATGAATCTCTAAGTAAAACACAGACACAAAAAATGAAAGTTCGATCTCAACAATGTAGCAAATTTTATAAACAAATAATTATCTTTCCATTGTTTGATACAATTGTCACACAGCTAGATTCAGTAAGGTAATGAATATAATTGTATTATTTAGGATGAATAAACGATGTGTCCTATACTTGAATCAAATTTATAAGAAAATAATTAACACATTCTAGATATATATAATACGTTACAAGAAAATATCCATGCACACTATTCATCTGCCTTAACTGTGCAAGCCTTGTGCTCCACAACTATAACTCTACAGAAATCTTTAAATTGATAGTCACTACGCTTCGTGTCTTAAGTAATTAACGTACTTACATAACTAACTTTCTGAAATTTTGCTGTGGTTCTCAAGAGAGAGAGAGAATTATAAAGATAATAAAGTCGGTAAAGCACAGCATAATATGAAAATATTCTGAAGTCTTTTCCAAAAATTAGTTTCATCTTGCTCTAATTCGTATGCTGAATCAATTAACTTGTTAATCTTTTCATTGCTATAAGGTTGAAAACAGCATTTGCTTCATGAAAATCTTTCATCAATCTCAGAAAAAAATGACACTGCATATTTCTTAATCCCAATATTGTTAGAAGAAACTGCTTGGCAAAATTAAACAACGCGGTAACTTAGTAGCCAAAATAATAATAAAAAAAAACAGAAAAAGAAGAAATAAAACTACTGTAATCTTTTTTGTTTACATAGTTTGCTTATTACGCATAAAAATATAGATGTTTATTACTCTTCTTCCGAATGACAAATATTTTGATTTAACCTGCATTTGTAAAATAAGACTGTAAAATTTCATTTACCAGCTTTGCCTACTTTTCATTCTCAAATGAAGTTTTCGAGAAAATATAAAAATGTTTAATACCGAGTTTTCGTCCAGCAATGATGCAAGTATTATTTTTTAGTGATATGAATGTGAAACATAAAGTTCAGTGTGTAAATTTTTCCATAGATTGTTTGCCAACATTTTCAAATCTGCTTTAAAATGACTCTAAAAATTGTCTGTATTTCGCCATTACTCGCCGTTAAGGAAAGCAACTCCATATCATTAGAATATCAAGTGTACTAATAGCAAACGCTGGACTGAGCGCTTTCAATGCGAGCAACTAGTGTCCACGGCCAGTGAATCATTACTTTATATCTCGTAAAGTTAACGATAGATACTAACGTAACGGTACGAAGCAATTAATTAATTCTTCGTCTACTTAAATAAAGCAATTACCTACATATTTCTAATTGTATATAAACATTTATTTTTGAATTAATGCCACATCATCGGTAAATGAAAAGCAACATGGATTAATAAAAATAAAAGATACCTCCCCTCCTGGCATCTGGTCACTCTCATTCCCATAGTTTAATTCCTTTAGCTTAGCTCAGAACGAGAGTGTCAGTCCTGCTTACGGGTCTTTCAAGCAAGTTGCCGTGCTTAAAGATAGATTAATATCCAATCCCATGTAATCCACTTGATACTTTATGTAATTCTAGCTGGAGTCCCCGTCCCATGGACGGAAGTTATGTAAATTCATGTTTATAAAAGCCCATAAAAACAGAAAATGTGAATTCACAAATGTGGTGAAGATCCATTAAAATTTATAGAAACATGATTACCATGTTAACGCGATATGTTGAAGAACTATTTTCT